TCAGGTTTATTTAATTATAAACCCCCATGATCTGAGGAGAAGAATGAAAAACAAAATGTGTTCTCTGTTCTGAGATGTTCCCCTCCCCTCCATCCCAGACATGGGGGCCAAGGGGCTGTGGCAGGAAAGGAGGAAGTGGTCCTGGGTGAGTTAGGCTCCCCCACAACATGTATCTTCTCCAGGCCCCACGGCAGGTTCCCCTCAAGACCCCTTGATCCTCACGCTGACCACTCTGTGTGTACAGGCTGGCACAGGCGTGTACACATCCTGACCCATGGGAGGGGAGCCAGATCCTTCAGCTTGGTAGCTGAGGAAGGGACTCCATGAAGAGGAGGAGGGTGTCCGACTCAGGTGGCATAGCACTGCTCCAGGGTGCTCCTTGCGCAGATCCTGGCCCTCTGCCCTCCTGCCCCCCTGCACACTCTGCAGGCCCAGCCCTGGTGCTGACCTTTCCTTCCACCTCTAAGTCCCTAGTCTGGAATTTGGGCTGAAGTCTTGCTGCTTCTGTCTTTAGTTGTTTGTGTTTCTGTTTTTGGTTTTGGCTTGGTTTTTTTTGTTGTTGTTTGTTTCCTGGGTCTCAATGACACTCTTGCTCCCAGGGTGCTATGGGGCCTGGCCCTTCACCAGGGCAGGTGGCAGGCCCTCAGCTGGTGCCCCTCCCGCAGGCCAGGGTGGCCATGATGTCCTCCTCATGCCCTGCTCAAGGTCCTCAATCTGCAAGTGGAAGAGCCTTGCCCAGAGCTCCTGAAGCCAAATCTCTTCAGGGTGCTACCCTCTACCAAGGGCTCAGGGGCCCTTGAGACGGTGCCATTGTGCTGGCAGGGAAGTGGCTTGTTACTTGGGCAGGGGCTATACCTGGGGAGGCCGCACCCAGCCACACCCAGAATCATCTTCATACCCCTGCCCCACCCCAGCCTCGTGACCTGACTGACAGCTCCTGCCCAAGCCAGGACAACAGGAAGCAGGGCTGGGGCTCTTTCCCTACACCTCTGGCTAAGGCTGCCCCAGCACCTCTGCTTCCCTTGCAAGAGTGGCCCATGTGGCTGCCCTGCCTGAGCGAGAGGCACCAGAGTGTTGGGGCAGGATGAGGGGTACTGCCCTCTCCCAGTAACTCTTCCTCTACCCCACTGGAAGACATCCCGTAAAGAGAACCATGCTTACAGGGTGTGTGTGTTGCGGGTGCATAGAGGATGCACCTCTGAGGCTTTACACAAATCTAGGTATTGATACTTACACCATGTCAGGATGCTCTTTTGCAGGGACTGTGGCATGTTCCAGTGTCATTGGGCATCTGTGACTTTGCAGCTGATTGTAGTTTGTGTGACTGAGTAAGAGCATGTCACCAAGTCTATACAGGGAAACTGGTGTTTGTGTTTGCACTTTACACTGAAGACTGTATGACTTGCAGCTGGTGATAGCATGTGCAATTGCGTGTGTAAGGAGAACATACTGTAGGGTTGGGTGTGCATGCCCTCGGTGTGTGCATATGTTTCAGGAAATCTGCACATAGGCAGGCTGGAAGCGTGGGTCTGCCTAAGGCAAGCCAGATCTCTGTGTAAGCAAGATTCCTGTATATGAATGTCTAAGGAAGACTAATCTGTTTGTACCATATGCATCCGTGTGTCTGAGAAAGACAGACCGTGGCTCTGTGTGAAGCTGGGTGTGTGTTTGTGGGCGGCTGTGGCTTTGTGTGTTTTTGTCCACCATATGTGTTGACTTGTCGCTCTTTAGCCCCAGTGGTGGGGAGTGAGCCCAGCCCCCGACGACTGGATGCTGTGAGTGCATCTGTGTGTTTGTGCATGGGCGGGGGCCACACAGCTGCTGCCACGTGGCTGCCCTCCATGGCCCTGTGGAAACCTGAAAGAGGTGTTGCTTCGCTCCTGAGCATCAAAGCTCCAGTCCTGGGAAGACCCTGGGCCTGGTGCCTACCTCCCTGGTGACTTTGCGGGGCAGTTGTTGTTTCCTGCCCGACAGAGCCCAGTGTCTAGGGTGGCCAGCCTCTTCTCCCCTCTGCCTCCTGCAGATACATGGTGGGGGCAGCGAGGGATGGGGTGCAGCAGGCACCTGGGGGAGCTGGGAGCTTGCTCACTCACTCCTCTTTTGTCTTTACCCGCTGCCCCTCATACCCCCGTCCCAACGTGTGTATGTACAACACACGTGCACACACGTGCACACACATGCACACACAGCACAGAAAAGGTGGGTTGGGTCTCTTCCTCCCAATACCACGGACGGATGGGTTCTATGACCCCCCCACACACCCCCCTCACCTACTGCCGAAGGCGGGGACGGGCACCCCAGGGCTGAGGAGGGCCTTGCCCTGTCTCCTGTGCCCGCGCAGGCTGAAGGGAGCAGGCTCCTCCTCTCCCCCTCCGAGAAGCGGGGAAACCGAGAGCACGCGGCCCCCTCCCCACCGGAGTGACCGGAGCCCTTCTTCAGGCACACATGACTCGAAACTCAAGTCCTCTCTTCATTAATGGGAAAAATGTGGCGAGATTGAGCGATGGCCAAGGCTGAGCGATGGCCAGGGGCCGATCCCCTCCCTCCCTCTCTCGCTCCCCAAAAATTAAACAGAAATGAAGAGCCTCCTTGCCTCCCTCGCTCCTTCTCTCCCTCCCTCCTTCCCGCCGCCGCCTCTCCGCCGTCCCCTCCCTCCGCTCCCTCCTCCCGGAGCCAGCGCAGGGCTTGTTTTAAACTGTGGAGGAATCTGGCTGGAGGGGGAGGGGGCTGAATATTTGGGTTTAAACAGTTCCAGATGGGTCTGGCACAGGCTGAGCAGAAGGAAGTGAGGGAGCGGGAGGAGGGAGGCGGCGCGAGGGAGCGGCAGGAGCCCCGGCCTGCTCGGACGGGCAGCGGCGGGCGGACCGGCGGGAGGACTGGCTGCTGGGGCAGGGCGCTCTCGCTGGGAGGGCTCCCAGGACGGACACTCGGGCCGCCAGCTGGAGACAAGGCCGCCTGGCAACCTCCCTCTGTCTCTGTCTCTGTCTCTGCCTCCTCGGGCCTCCGCGTCTCTCCATCTCCCTGTCTTTGTAGTCAGCCGCCGGCCATCCCGGCTGTCTGATCCCCGCCAGCCGGCTCCGCACATCCCTCCGGCTCCGTGCCGCCCACCGCCCGCCTGCCGGAGTCGCTACCCCTCCCGCCTCCCTCCCCGCCGGTCTCTGGGCCCCGGCTTTTGAGTATCTCGGCTTCCCTCGAGTACCCCCCGGCCAAATGTCTGTGTCTGTCTGTCTGTCCGCCAGAGGCCAGGATCACTCCCCTTGCACCCGGGCCCTCAGGGGACCAGCGGCTGCGGCAGCAGGAGGAGCCTCCCTCCCTGCAATGAATGGCTGCTACCTGCTGCCCCTTTGCCTGACATCGGGGGCTGGGGTCACAGCTGCCTTGTCCACCCTCGGGGTCCTCCGCCGGCCTCGACTCAGACCCAGCCTCAGGAAACCACTGAAGACTGCAAGCCTGTGGCCGTGGGGTTTGGGTCTTTCCCCACCTGGGCACACCGAGGGGGTGATGTAGAGGCCTCCAGAGGTCCTGGGGCAACCCTGCCCCATTCCAGCTTCAGAGCTGGCTGCACTGTCTTCCAGGCCACGGGAAAGGAGTTGGCACCTCTTTCCTTCCTTTCCTGCCCCAAGTCTAATCTGGGGGTCACACTGTCTTTCAGAGAGTAGTGACATCCAGCCAGAGCCCAGAACCAGGTTCCTAAGAGAGCAAGAAACTTTAATGGGCCCCTGCTATGACCAAACAAAGTGAAACAGGCAAGAAACCAGCTCAGAACACAGGCCGGGTACTGTGACAGAGCCGCTGGCCCTTGATGCACAAAGGAAGGCATCTTACCCTAACTTGGAGGTTCACGGAAGGCTTCCTGGAGGAGGCAACAGCTCTGTTGGGACTTAAATAATAGGCAGTTTTCTAGACTTTCTTTCATCCCTCCCTTACAGAGGGGCATATTGCAGTCAGAGTGCAAGGGATTAATTATAGAGTCAGATACACCTGAATCTGAGCCACTCTTGTTCCCTCACCCCAAGTCCTAGCAACTTTACCTTAGGCAGTATATTTTCTTTGTCTGGGCATCAGTGTTCTCTTCTGTAAAAAGGATACACCAACAGTACCTTCGTGCAAGGATTGCAAGAAAAATTGAACTAAGAGCTGGTTTGGGCCTTTGGTCGTCCCCTCTCCACCCTCAAAGCGTCCCCTCTCCACCCTCAAAGCGCATCCCTGCCCCATCACCTGTAGGTGCTGGGTGGGAGCTGGCTCTGGCCTTTCACTGCCCTCCCCTTCCCCTGGGCCTTAGTGTGGGGCTGGGCCTTTGTGCTGGGAACGGAGTCAGGGGAGGCCAGGGCCAGGGTCTGAAGCACACAGCCCTTTGTTCCAGGATAAAGGCCCTGCCGGCCCCTTTGTGTGGAGATTAGCAGAGCCTGTAGGTGTGTGGACGGGCCTCTGCTCCCGCCTCATTAACCCAGGCCTGGGGTCAGGGCACCCACCCCTAGCCTGCCCAAGGGGACATCTCTGGGGCTGTGACATCTCTGGAGATGGCCGCAGGGTCTCCTCTAGGATAGGGAAACTGGGAGCTTACAGGACTTGTGGAAAGTGGAGCCTGGTGGGAATCCTTTCCTGAGCCATCTCTTCTTTCTTTCCTTTTCTTTTTTTTTTTTTTCTAGACAAAGTTTCGCTTTTGTTGCCCAGGTTGGAGTGCAGCAGCGCAATCTCTGCTCGCTGCAACCTCCGCCCCTCGGGTTCAAGCAATTCTCCTGCCTCAGCCTCCCGTGTAGCTGAGATTACAGGTGTGTGCCACCACACCTGGCTAATTTTGTATTTTTAGTAGAGACAGGGTTTCACCATGTTGGTCAGGCTGATCTCGAACTCCTGATCTCAAGTGATCCGCCTGCCTCGGTCTCCCAAAGTGCTGGGATTACAGGCGTGAGCCACGTCGCCCAGCTGTGATCTCTTCTTTCTCCTCACCCTGAGATTAGTCCCTGACCTTTTACTCTGTTGTTCCTCCAGAGACCCTCATGGACACAAAATGGGTGACATCTGAGTTGGCGTGGACATCTCATCCAGAAAGTGGGGTGAGACTTTCCCATCATTCTCTGAGTGTTGTTTGCCATTAGGCCTCCCCCCACTTCCAGCCTGCGTGCCCCCTCACCTCACCAGGGCCTGGAGGAGGGCTGCCTCTGCCCTCTGCTGTCACCCTCACTTCCTGTGCTATCCCCATCGTCCTCACTTGTCACCCTCTGAAGCACCTCATGATCCTTCTCTGTGGGTGTTTCTATCTCTTCCTACTCTGCCTGCCTGTGACCCCCAGCTCCCACTCCCTCTCCCTCTGCTCCAGACAGCCCTCTGCATGTCCATCCCTACCATCTCCCTCCTCCCTGGGTCCCTGGAGAGAGCACTGGCTTGGAAACCTTAGTTCCAGATCTTTAACTTGCTGTGTGACCTTGGGCAAGGCCGTTTACCCCTCTGGGTGGCCACTTCTTGACTGTTGAATTCCTGCAGTCCGGACCTCTCTCAAATATTCTAATTAATCTCCCTAGATGGCCTTCATGGCTGCTCGAAGCCCTAGAACCCTGGAGTACTATGGCACCACAGGCCCTGCAGTCATCATGCCTGACTGTGTGACCTTGGGCAAAACTCCCTTCTGTGGGCCTTGGCCTCGTCATCTCTAAACATCGGGACAACAGATGCGGCTCCTCATGGAGTTGCTGTGAAGATTAAATGCGATGTTAATAGTGACAGCCAGTATCCCAGAAGTGCTTGCACTGTTACAAGCCCATTACATTTATTAGCCTGATTTAATTCCTCACAGCCTTGTTTAGTTCTAATCAGCCCCATTTTACAGATGATGAAACTGAGGTATAAAGATAGCAGATATAGCTGATGTTCCCACAGTACTTAACAAGTTGCTAGTCCTGTCCTAAATACTTTATTCAGTTAAAGTCATTATTCCTTACACATCATTATGATCCCCATGTTACAGATGGGAAAACTGAGGCACATGGAGGTTAAGTGACTTATCCATAATCACACAGCAAGCAGAGAGCTGGAATTTGAACCCATATAGCCTGTATCCTCAGCCGCTACACCATAGAAGCATCCCCGTGAAGTACATAGAGCAGATCTGGGCATGAGGGAAGCACTTGGCAAATGCAGGCGTTCACTCTGTTTTTTTCATTGGTCCATGCACAGTGGGAAGAGGTGAGTGGCTACGATGAGGCCATGAATCCCATCCGCACATACCAGGTGTGTAATGTACACGAGTCAAGCCAGAACAACTGGCTTCGCACAGGGTTCATCTGGCGGCGGGACGTGCAGCGGGTCTACGTGGAGCTCAAGTTCACTGTGCGTGACTGCAACAGCATCCCCAACATCCCTGGCTCCTGCAAGGAGACCTTCAACCTCTTCTACTACGAGGCTGACAGCGATGTGGCCTCAGCCTCCTCCCCCTTCTGGATGGAGAACCCCTACGTGAAAGTGGACACCATCGCACCAGATGAGAGCTTCTCACGGCTGGACGCCGGCCGCGTCAACACCAAGGTGCGCAGCTTTGGGCCACTTTCCAAGGCTGGCTTCTACCTGGCCTTCCAGGACCAGGGCGCCTGCATGTCACTCATCTCCGTGCGTGCCTTCTACAAGAAGTGTGCATCCACCACCGCAGGCTTCGCACTCTTCCCCGAGACCCTCACTGGGGCGGAGCCCACCTCGCTGGTCATTGCTCCTGGCACCTGCATCCCCAACGCCGTGGAGGTGTCGGTGCCACTCAAGCTCTACTGCAACGGCGATGGGGAGTGGATGGTGCCTGTGGGTGCCTGCACCTGTGCCACCGGCCATGAGCCAGCTGCCAAGGAGTCCCAGTGCCGCCGTGAGTGGGGACTGTCCTGGGGAAAGGGTTGTGGGGAGGGCCTGGGCCACAGCTACCTACTGCCCTGCACCCCCGCCCCTGCTTGCTATCTGACTAGGAGGTCTGGGAGCAGGTCCACAGTGGAGGCAGGAAAGGGAAGAGTGGGGATCAGATGCAGAGAATGTGGTGCAAGGAGGGAGAAGAGAGAGAAAATCAGGAGAGACACAAGGATAGTAAGAGAAAAAATGAAACTGAAGAGAGAGGAAGAGAAGCGTGCAGAATCCTTGGCAATCAGGCACCTGGAGAACCCAGTCAGAGGCTTAGGAGGCCAGCAGAGATGCTCACTTTGTCCTGGCCTGAGTGTATACTTCACCCTGAAAGTGATAGGTCGGCCCCAGGACTGAGGGCATGGGGGCTGTGGGTACCTTGTGCATGGCCTTTTACCCTGGGCTCTCTTCTGCCCCTTGGGTGGCAGTATATAAATGGCACAGTGGTTAGGGACCCAGTCTCTGAAGTTGAGTCCCGACTCTGTCACTTACCACTGACGTGACCTTGGGCAAGTTACGTTTTTTTTTGAGATGGAGTTTTGCAATTATTGCCCAGGCTGGAGTGCAGTGGCACGATCTCGGCTTGCTGCAACCTCCACCTCCCAGGTTCAAGCAATTCTCCTGCCACAGTCTCCTGAGTAGCTGGGATTACAGCTGTGTGCCACCATGCCCGGCTAATTTTGTATTTTTAGTAGACGGGGTTTCACCATGTTGGTCAGGCTGATCTCGAACTCCTGACCTCAAGTGATCCACCCGCCTCAGCCTCCCAAAGTGCTGGGATTACAGGCGTAAGCCACCACGCCTGGCCCTGGGCAAGTTACTTAACTGTTTGAACCTCGGTTTCCTCATGTGCAAGATGAGGACAATAATCAAGTTTCCTTCATAGGGCTGTAGTGAGGCTTACGTGAGCAGTGCTTTGCCCGTAGAACAGTGTCTGGCACATGGGAGCACAGCCACCAGCTAAGTGTTGGCCATGAGTCTCCAGAGCCCTGGGATCCATGAGAGCTCGGCTGTTCTGCCCTCATTTTGTACATGAGGAGTTCAGGAGGCCTGCCTCCGATGGCTTGCCAAGACTTATGTACGAGGCTTCTCAATTATCAAAACTGTCCACCCCTCTCTCACTGAGCCTCACCAGTCCTTGTGAGGTAGATTCCTGCCATCTCCCCATTTCGCCAATAAGGAAACTGAGTCTTGGAGAGGCTCTGTGCACAGGCCTTGTAGCTAGGGAATGTGGAAGCTGACATGGAAGCCTCCTCCTGTGCTCTGCCATGCAGGACGGCGCGCTGAGGGCCCTGTCTTTCGCTCCCTCTGCCCGATTCTCTTCCCTGGGGCTTGCAGCCTACATACAGCTCTGAGGCGTAGGTGATGGCTCTTACTGCAGCCCTAGGTGTGAGGGGCTTGGCAGCATGAACCTGGCTGCGAGGCCCAGTGTTGTTATGTGAAGGTGAACAGTGCCTTTCCTGGGCCCTCTCCACTTCTCGATGGGAATCTGTCCTGAGATTTCCTCTTCCTAAGTGGAGAAAGGGGGTGGGGTGATGAGCCTGACAGACTGAAGAGGGGCTAACACTCTGCAGGTCCCCGGCAGGAAATGCATGCTGGTTCCCATAGCAACCAGGCTGGCCTGGCCTCTGCCCCCTCCCCCACTGGCTCAAAAGAGCTAGGGTGGAATATCACCTTCGTGAGGGGAGATGAAACCCCAGAAAAGGGCAATCCCTAGCGCTGGGCATTCTCCCCTGTGGGTGTCCCCCTCCAGAGGCAGTCATATGGAGAGGCGTTGACCCACTTTAGTGTCTAGAAGGGTCTTGGTGTGTGCCCATTTTCCTAACACAGTTATTACTAGTGCCTCCTTTGACTTGCAAATTCCAGTGTGAAGAATACACGATATGGCTACCATAAATCCACAGAGCCTGTGTCCAGGGGGCCAAGGGTAGATGGCAGGAGGGGAGACCCGGGAGAAGGGATGCTCAGGCCCTGGGCTTGCTCTGGGGTGAGTCCCCTTGTGAACACTTGAGGCCTCTGAACTCCAGGTGACCCCAGCCTTCCTGCCTGCTTTCTTTCTCTCCTCCTCTTACCCGTCCTCAGCCCCCATCCCTGCCCAAGGGCAGACAGGAGCTGCTGCCTGCGCCTGGTGGGTGGGGCGAGAGCTTCCCTGTGAAGGCCCCACCTCCTGGCTGTTCTAGGGTGTCCTTCAGGGTCCTCAGGAATGATTTTTCTGGAGCCTCGGGGAGAGGTGGGGCATCTCCACAGTGCCGGGTGCTGCTAGCCCACCGGGGGTCTCTTCCCCATCCCCGCCTCTTCCTCTGCCTTTCACTGTCTTCCCTGCCTCAACAAGCCCAGGCTGTCCAGGTGATGGGGCTGACGTCTTCGTCCATGAGGCCCCGGGGTAGGGGTGAGGGGGGCAGGGGCGGGGAGGAATCCGCTGACATGGGGTTTCCATGGGGCAATAGGGCCTTTTGTAGCTGCAGCTGGAGTTAGGCAATCCTAGCATTGCCCCCACAGTCTAGGAGGTGGAGGGGCCAGACCTAGGCTGGGGAGAAGCCAGGTTCTCACGGAGGTGTTGTGGAGGTCTGGTGTCTGCAGTGAAGGGAGATAAGCCCCATCCATCCTCTTCTCCCCCACAGCCTGTCCCCCTGGGAGCTACAAGGCAAAGCAGGGAGAGGGGCCCTGCCTCCCCTGTCCCCCCAACAGCCGTACCACCTCCCCAGCTGCCAGCATCTGCACCTGCCACAATAACTTCTACCGCGCAGACTCGGACTCTGCGGACAGTGCCTGCACCAGTGAGTGAATGCGCGTCCTCTCTCCCCCTCTGCAGGCCTTCCCTCTGGGGGGCCAACCTGGGAAGCCTAAGCAGTCACTATGAATAGCCCCATTTTCCAGAGGAGGAGCTGAGGCTCAGGGAAGTTAGATGTTGTGCTTAAGATGGCACAACTGGGAGGTGACTGCCCCTGAGCCAGAATCCAGGTCAGCCAGCTCATCCCTTCCACCAACACTTGCTAAGCACCTACCACTTCCTAGCCACGAGTAGAGACTGGCTAGGAGCTTAGCAGTTGGCCTTCTAGTCCATCGCCCCTCCCTCTGTATAGAAGTGCCTCTCCCCAGCCCCACTCTAACCATGGAGGGGGCCTCACATCCTGAGGGTGGCCTGGTGCCCCACTTCCTCTCTGCCCTGGCCTTTGGTGTGCCAGGCATTGTGCTGGATATTGACGGTGAATAAAATATAGTCATTGTCCTAAAGGAGCTCGCAACCTGGTGGGAGAAATAGGTGTAAAAGCAGATAATTAGCATAATGTACTGAGAGCTGGGCTAGAAGGCTGTCTAGGAATTGTTTTATGTACATGCAGAGTATAGGGCAAGGACGAATCAAGGAAGACTGCCAAGAGGAAGTGACATCACAAGTTGGGTATTGAAGGATAGATAGGAGTCTGCCTAGTGAAGAAATGTAGGAAAGTTATTCTGCTTATCAAAGTAGAGGCAAGGCAAGGAGGTAGAACGCAGGTTGGAGTGTGCAGGAACTCTGGGCAGAAGGATGGTCCTAGAGACCCCAGCTCACTGCCTTCTCCCTCCATGTTCCTCACAGCCGTGCCATCTCCACCGCGAGGTGTGATCTCCAACGTGAATGAAACCTCACTGATCCTCGAGTGGAGTGAGCCCCGGGACCTCGGTGGCCGGGATGACCTCCTGTACAATGTCATCTGCAAGAAGTGCCATGGGGCTGGAGGGGCCTCAGTCTGCTCACGCTGTGACGACAACGTGGAGTTTGTGCCTCGGCAGCTGGGCCTGACAGAGCGCCGGGTCCACATCAGCCATCTGCTGGCCCACACGCGCTACACCTTTGAGGTGCAGGCGGTCAACGGTGTCTCGGGCAAGAGCCCTCTGCCGCCCCGCTATGCAGCTGTGAATATCACCACAAACCAGGCTGGTGAGGAGGGGGCACTGGAGGGCAGGGCCTGGGTCACCTTCCCCTGGATCGAGCTGAGGTGTCCTCGGGCCTGCTAAGGGACCACTGGGGGTCCCATGGGAAGTGGGTCTTTGGGAAGGATGCCAGGGTCCAGGGAGCCCCTGGTGAGCCCTCTGCTCTTCCCAGCCCCGTCTGAAGTGCCTACACTACGCCTGCACAGCAGCTCAGGCAGCAGCCTGACCCTATCCTGGGCACCCCCAGAACGGCCCAACGGAGTTATCCTGGACTACGAGATGAAGTACTTTGAGAAGGTCAGAACCTCAAGGGGCAGGAGGAGGCCTTGGGCTGAGATGGGCTGAGATGGGCTGAGAAAATTACCCCCAGATCGCGATGGGGCCCTTGGGAGCAAGGCCTTGGGTATGGAGGGGACATGTGGCAGGCCTGGGTGTGAATGGGGGCCAGTCAGCCTCAGGACCCACCTGAGGATGCCCCCTCCCTCCTGGCATTGCAGAGTGAGGGCATCGCCTCCACAGTGACCAGCCAGATGAACTCTGTGCAGCTGGATGGGCTTCGGCCCGACGCCCGCTATGTGGTCCAGGTCCGTGCCCGCACAGTAGCTGGCTATGGGCAGTACAGCCGCCCCGCCGAGTTTGAGACCACAAGTGAGAGAGGTTAGTAGCCCCCTGCGCCTGTTGCCATCATGGCCCTCACTGTCTGTCCTTCCACTCAGCAGCCCCTTTTCCATCTCCAGGCTCCGGGGCCCAGCAGCTCCAGGAGCAGCTTCCCCTCATCGTGGGCTCCGCTACAGCTGGGCTTGTCTTCGTGGTGGCTGTCGTGGTCATTGCTATCGTCTGCCTCAGGTACTCCCAGGCCCATTGTTGCTTCATGGGTTGACTAGAACTGCCTTTTAGCATCCTAGAGCCCTCCTGCCACAGAGATGAGCTGCCACCACCTCCCTCAGACCCAGGGCCTTAGCCCTCCTGGGGCCAGTCGTTGCTGGAGAAGCCCTCTCCCGTCCCTGCCTGTGTCTTCATCCTGCCCTTTCTCCACACCCCATTCCCTGAACCTCCGGGCAGGTTCCCTAGGGACTGAGTCCACTGAGCCCCTTGCTCAGAGACCCAGAGATTGCTGTGACCACCAACTGTGGGACTAGGCCCCGGGCCATCCGCTGTGTCCTCTCTGCCCCTTCTGTGAGCCCAAGGGTCCCCTGAACAAAGGGAGCCAGATGACTTGTCTCAGGCCTGCCCTCCACCCTGCCACCCTACAGGAAGCAGCGACACGGCTCTGATTCGGAGTACACGGAGAAGCTGCAGCAGTACAGTGAGTTTGCTCCCGCCGCCCTCCCCAAGCTCTCCCAGCTCTCCCAGGCCCCTGCAGGGCTCGCAGACACCCTTCTCCCCTCCTGGGACTTCATTCCTTAGAGATAAACCCTGAGGCCCCCTCCCACTTCCAGTCAAGTGCCATTTCCTGACCCCTATCTCACTCCAGGTACCCTGGGACCCTACTCACTCCTGCTAGCCCCAGAAATGACTGAGATGTGACCCCTCCCCGTAAAGGCAGTTAGTCTTGTGGGAAAGACAAGATGCATACACACAAGAAACAATTCAAGAACAATTAAGCTCGAGCAGGTGCTCCTATTGTAAAGGGCCCTCAGAGTTTAGAGAGTAGGAAGGCTTCCTGGAGGGGGTGGACTTGAGCCGAGCCAGGTGGGATGAGCAGGGTTTTGGGAGGTGAGGGAGAGCATTCCTGGCCAGAGGAGCCTCTGGAAGGTAGTGGGTGGGGTGGGGAGGGAGCCCAACTGTGGGGGCAGCGGGAAGACTGGTTTGACAGCTGCTGGGAAGCCAGGCTGGGTAGTTGTGGCCAGCCCTCGGAGGGTCGTGAAAGGCAGGCAGAGGAGTTTGGACTTGACTCCACCATAGGTAATTGGAAAGGCTCTCAAGTTGGGGAGTAATACAATGAGAGGATTGTTTTAGGAAGACAGTGGTATGCAGGATAGCTCAGTGGGAAAAGTCCAGAGGCAGAGAGCCCAGCTGGGAGGCTATTGGAATAGTGCGAGTGTTGAAGGTCTGGACAAGGTCAGGGCAGTGGGAACCAGGGGAGGGATGAATCTGAGAGAGGTCTGGATGTGATGAGAGATGAGAGAGAAAAACTAGGAGTAGAATCCTAGGTGTCTAGCCTTTATGGTCACCAGGAGTTCTCACGGGGGCTGGAGGGTTAGGGCAGCAACACAGAGGAATATGGGGCTGGGCTCAGCCGGGAACCTGCTGGAGCTATGCCTGTCGCAGGGAAAGGCTGGCTTGACTGTTGCCCTCTCACGCCCACCTCTTCTCCTTCTAGTTGCTCCTGGAATGAAGGTTTATATTGACCCTTTTACCTACGAGGACCCTAATGAGGCTGTTCGAGAGTTTGCCAAGGAGATCGACGTGTCCTGCGTCAAGATAGAGGAGGTGATCGGAGCTGGTGAGTCTCCTGGGGCACAGTAGAGATGAGAAGCTGAGGCAGGCTGGGTACAGGGGTGAGTCATAGCTTGTTCCCTGTGCCCTGTGCCTTGCAGGGGAGTTTGGAGAAGTATGCCGTGGTCGACTGAAACAGCCTGGCCGCCGGGAGGTGTTTGTGGCCATCAAGACACTGAAGGTGGGCTACACCGAGAGGCAGCGGCGGGACTTCCTCAGCGAGGCCTCCATCATGGGTCAGTTTGATCATCCCAATATAATCCGGCTCGAGGGCGTGGTCACCAAAAGTCGGCCGGTTATGATCCTCACTGAGTTCATGGAAAACTGCGCCCTGGACTCCTTCCTCCGGGTAAGAGCCAGCCCCCAGGCCCTCTCCTTCCCCCAGAAAGTTGGGTTGGGCTAACCATCCCCTCCCACAAGTCAGATAGCCCCTATTCAAGTCCATAAGCATTTACTGAGGTGGCTTGGTGCAGGGAAATGGCAGGGCCTTCAGAGCCAGAAGTATGGGAGGTCACATCTTGACTGCTCCTTACTGCCTGTGTGACCTCAGGCAAGTGACTTAACCTCTCTGAGTCTCAGCTGCCTGGTTGTAGAATGGGAGTGGTAAGAGCTAGTGGGTTCTCATGGGATTAATTGGGATGTTATCTACAAGATACTTGACACCTAGTAGGGCAGCTCACTTACCCTCAGGGCACTCTGGACATGGTTGCAGGAGAGATGAAGCAGAGTCTGAGTACTTGGAGAGGGCAGGCAGGTGGGCAGGCCACGGGTTGGGATGGGGGCAATGGGCCCATCTGAGCCTGCTTGTTGCCTGCAGCTCAACGATGGGCAGTTCACGGTCATCCAGCTGGTGGGCATGTTGCGGGGCATTGCTGCTGGCATGAAGTACCTGTCCGAGATGAACTATGTGCACCGCGACCTGGCTGCTCGCAACATCCTTGTCAACAGCAACCTGGTCTGCAAAGTCTCAGACTTTGGCCTCTCCCGCTTCCTGGAGGATGACCCCTCCGATCCTACCTACACCAGTTCTCTGGTACAGGAAGCCGCTGGGAGGGAGACTGGGGGCGGGGCCTATCAGCCAGGGGCTCGGGCCTTGGGGGCAGCCTGGAGTCACAGGGTGAAGGGCCTGTGCCCCCCTCACCAGGGCGGGAAGATCCCCATCCGCTGGACAGCCCCGGAGGCCATAGCCTATCGGAAGTTCACTTCTGCTAGTGATGTCTGGAGCTACGGAATTGTCATGTGGGAGGTCATGAGCTATGGAGAGCGACCCTACTGGGACATGAGCAACCAGGACGTGAGTGAGGCTAAGCCAGGGTGGTTAGGTGGGTGGGTGCTGGCTGGGGATCATAGCAGCAGCTCACTCTGCGTTTCCCTGCTGTCGGCCCAGGTCATCAATGCTGTGGAGCAGGATTACCGGCTGCCACCACCCATGGACTGCCCCACAGCTCTGCACCAGCTCATGCTGGACTGCTGGGTGCGGGACCGGAACCTCAGGCCCAAATTCTCCCAGATTGTCAATACCCTGGACAAGCTCATCCGCAATGCTGCCAGCCTCAAGGTCATCGCCAGCGCTCAGTCTGGGTTGGTACCTCTGCCTCTGCTCCCACCAAGCCAGTAGCCCTATCTCCTGCCCTCGAGACTCACCAGGTCCTTCTCTTCTTCCCACAGCATGTCACAGCCTCTCCTGGACCGCACAGTCCCAGATTATACAACCTTCACGACAGTTGGTGATTGGCTGGATGCCATCAAGATGGGGAGGTACAAGGAGAGCTTCGTCAGTGCGGGGTTTGCGTCCTTTGACCTGGTGGCCCAGATGACTGCAGAGTAAGTGTGCCTCAGATTTGAAGGAGCAGGGCAGGGGGCCCTAGACTTGGCCCAGAGTAGAGGGCACGAGGAGAGGGACTAATCCTGCTTTTGCTCCATCTGCAGAGACCTGCTCCGTATCGGGGTCACCCTGGCCGGCCACCAGAAGAAGATCCTGAGCAGTATCCAAGACATGCGGCTGCAGATGAACCAGACACTGCCTGTGCAGGTCTGACACCGGCTCCCACAGGGGATCCCGAGGACCGTGCAGGGATGCCAAGCAGCCGGCTGGACTTTCGGACTCTTGGACTTTTGGATGCCTGGCCTTAGGCTGTGGCCCAGAAGCTGGAAGTTTGGGAAAGGCCCAAGCTGGGACTTCTCCAGGCCTGTGCTCCCTCCCCAGGAAGAGTGCCCCAAACCTCTTCATATTGAAGATGGATTAGGAGAGGGGGTGATGACCCCTCCCCAAGCCCCTCAGGGCCCAGACCTTCCTGCTCTCCAGCAGGGGATCCCCACAACCTCACACTTGTCTATTCTTCAGTGCTGGAGGCCTGGCAGGGTCAGGTTGGGGTAAGCTGGGGTTCCACAGGGCCCAGCCCTGGCAGGGGTCTGGCCCCCCAGGTAGGTGGAGAGCAGTCCCTCCCTCAGGAACTGGAGGAGGGGACTCCAGGAATGGGGAAATGTGACACCCCCATCCTGAAGCCAGCTGGCACCTCCAGTTTGCACAGGGATTTGTTCTGGGGGTTGAGGGCCCTGTCCCTACCCCCGCCCTTGGTGCTGTCATAAAAGGGCAGGCAGGGGCAGGCTGAGGAGTTGCCCTTTGCCCCCCAGAGACTGACTCTCAGAGCCAGAGATGGGATGTGTGAGTGTGTGTGTGTGCGCGCGCGCGTGTGTGTGTGCACGCACTGGCCTGCACAGAGAGCATGGGTGAGCGTGTAAAAGCTTGGCCCTGTGCCCTGCAATGGGGCCAGCTGGGCCGACAGCAGAATAAAGGCAATAAGATGATTCTCTTGCCCCTTCTTATTCCTCCTCCGAAAGCAAGATTCCCTGATTCAGAGTTCACAGTCCCTGGCTGGCAATCCTTCACAACTCCCTGGAGGCATTGAGAAACCAGACGCGGGCCCATCCAGGCTCAGTTTCCACTTTGTGCTTGGACCTCACTGCTTTGAACATCTAATACACTTCTTGGAAGTGGGTCAGTGGCAACAGAGAACAAACTACCCCAGAGCTCCTTCCTTCTAAGGCAGAGGGCTTCCTGGGGTGGGGGCAGGCTCTCGTGTCTGGATGGTGTTTTACTGAGTTGATTCCCAGCCTTTGTCTTTAAGGGAGCTGAGGGGAGAGGGGGTTGATCAGTTCCCAGGGTCACGTGACCATGGACAAAGGGAAGGAGAGCCACTGGTGTTCAGAGGCGGAGGCCCGGAAGTCCGGCTGCTCCTCACTGAGCGCTTCCTATGCCCAGGCGCTGGGCTAAATGCCCCATTTATACAGGGATCTTATTTAATCTCACAACAACCCAGCCAGACAAGGAAGTATTTTTAACTCCTTTTTACAGAAAAGGAAAAGGAGAGGTTAAGTAACTTGCCCAAAGTCGCTGAGCCAGTAAGTGAGGCCCGCGGCTGGGATTCCCACCCAGAGACTGCCTGCATACTTGAAAGGTTCAGAGAATAAATAACAAGAACCAGGGAGAGGGTTAGGAAAACAGCTTCTGGAAATGCCAAAGGAGAAAGCGTGGTGGGGGGCCCTCAGAGGCCTGTCGGACGCAGGAACAGGCTAGGGGAGGGGGGAAGTGCAGTCATGTTCCCAGTGTCGGGAGGGATCCCTGGGCAGCAAACCTTTGTGCTTTCCGAGAGATCTGCACAGCCGAAATTAGAGGGTCCCTGGGTTGGCACAGAGGCATGAACAGACACCGCGCCATGTAGATGAGCGGTTCACGTGTCGCGGCCCCGCACCTCTCCCTGGACACGTCCAGGCAGCGCAGAGCTTCCCAGGGGAAATCTAAGCGAGAGGTTGCACCTAGGGGTCGGCGGAGCCGCAGGCCTGGAAGCATGCGACCGTGATTTCAGGCTCCGGGGTGGAGGCCCAGGGAGGCCGCGTGGAGGCCGCCGGCGAAGGTTGCAGGGTCTGCTGCCTGGCGCACTCCCGGCCGCGGAAGCCGGCGGCGATCGGAGGAGCCTAGGAGAGGCCCCCGCACAGCTGGTGGCGGCGCGGGCTCCACAGGCCGCCCCCGTCCCTCACCGCGCGCTCCCGCGCTGGGGCTGCTTGGCGGCGCCCGCTCCTTAGTATTCCCCCCACGGACCCCAGCCGCGCCGCCGCAGCCGGCCCGGGGGAGGGGCGCCCCGCACGGCTACGCTCTAGGCATTCTCCGGGGAGGACGCGGGGAGGGAAGGGGAGAGGAGGGGACGCAGACTCTCGGCGTAGGCCTCCTTCCTCCCCCAGTAGGGGAGGGGCTCTGCGGGGCCGTGGCGGGGGCGGGCGATGCGGGGGCCCGAGGTGGCCCTTGGACTAGGCGCCGGCGCTGTCAACGGGGCGAGGTGTGGCGGGCGGCCGGGGGAGGGGTCGCGGTGCCGAATGGCCTCCTGCACAGCCGCTCGGCATTCCCCGGCTGCAGACGCAAATAAAGCGGAGGGGGCGCGCTGAACAACTGCTCAAGGGTCCACTTCCTACTCTGGAAGCTAGGGGCTGGGGAGGGATCCGTGGCCCCTGAGCCCTGCGAAGCCGCCCTCGCCATCCTATGCCCTCGCCTTGACTTTTATAGTTGGAGTCTCGGTTTAGGGCGCGGAGATGCTGGGGTGGGGGCTTCACCCGCAGAGGTATGACATCGCCCTCTACTGGGTCCGCAGGGAGGGCAAGATCTTGGTCGTTTAGCGCCAAGGCGAGAGGGGCCCTGGGAGCCAGACAATCAGGGGGAACTCTTGGATTGTGCGCCCCAGGCCGAGGATCTCGAGGGACGTCTTGAGCCCAGCGGTCCAGGGGAAGTAAGGTACTCTGTCGGCTGTGCCTTGTGCAGCCACCACGCATACCTCGCTCCTCCTGTATCCAGGTATCCTCGCCTGCATGCGCGCCCTCTCCTGCCGCTGGCCCACAGAAACAGCTGACGGGCACACTACACTGACCCAAGCTACACCACACCATAGTCCTTACTCCCTCACTCACAGTCATTCGTCCTCAGTTACTTGACCCTCTAGGCTCCACCTTCCAAGCCCCTACGCCCTCAGAGCCTAGGGAAAGGGATGCAGAGAGGGAAGAAAAGCCATCCCCTTCCTGGAAGGCGCCTCCCGCCCCCAGCGCACGTCCTATCCGAACCGCTTAACCTAGCTAACCTGTGTCTCCCTGGAAAGGGCTGGGAGGAGTCCCCAGAGCCCCCAGCAGGGTTGCAAGGAGGGAGGGCTATGATTAAAGCAGAGGAAGAGACAGAAGAGAGAGGGCGCCTCAGGAGTTGTCTGGCTCTTCTGGGGACAGATAAGGAGTGAGAGGGAATGAGATTTTAGTAGGCGTAGCTTAGGTTACTTACACACTTCCTGGGGGCAGAAAATTCGATCTCCCAAGTTAGGGCTAAAAGGAAGCCGGTGGGGGTGAGGGGTTGTTGAGTCTTAGGAAGGGGCTGCTCCCCCTTGATTCCCTCATTCCACTTGCCCCATTGGGGCAGTTATAGCCCCAGAGGAACCACTTCTTGCCCTCTCTATGCCTGAGCTCAGAGAGTAGGAACAGCTAGGGAGCAAAGGTGCTTTAGTCTGTGCTCAGCCCCTGAGCACAGGGAGAGGTGCCCAGGACAGCAGGTGAGGGAGAGGGACCTGGACACGAGTCCTTAGATGTAAGCCTGAGTGGCCAGACCCTGGATTATAATCCAGAAAATGTGGGTAGTGCCCTGGGAAGGGCTGCCTATTTATGTACAGGTAGACCGGGGTTCAAAGCCCAGCTCTTTTGTTTCTATACCTCTCTGCCTCAATGCCCTCAGTGATAAAAAGGTATCGTTATCATTTCTATATCATGAGAGTGTTACATCAGTTAATACATGTAAACTATGTGCCAGGAAGTGCTCAAAAATGTTAGCTATTTTTTATTTGTACGAGGTTTGAAGAAAATACAGAAGCAAATAGGAAAATGCTGAAGGGTGCTTGGCACATAGCAGGGGCAGAATAAACCAAGGCACTTGGAGAAATCAACCAACTCCATTCAGGTCTCTTTGGAAGGGAAGAGGGTGAGGAAACTAAAGGGGCAGAGAAAGAGGTCCCACTCACGAGGCTTCTGGACATTTTGCTGCAGGCCTACCCCAGGCCCTGGATCAGTTCCTGGGGTAGGGCTGCTGGGGCCTGGGTGGTTTGAAGGCCATGGGAATGTGGTGCATTGCTGAGAGGGCAAGTGTGGTTCATGGCTTCTGGCTTTTTCTCAGCACACTAATCCTGGGCCTGCTTGGAGAAATGGAACTGTTTCCCCCCAGTAGTCATTCTTCAAGCGTATACTAGAGAACTCCTGTGTGCGAGGCACTGTGCTGGGCACTGGGGATACTGCGATGAGGGAGAACAGAGAAGATCGATGCTTCAAAGAGCTTCAAGTCTAGTAGGGAACAGGGATGTGATTCAAATATACACGCAGATAATTGTATCTAATTACAGGTGGAGGTAAATGTTACAGAAGCCAAGTTGAGTGTTGTGGAACTAAATCACAGTTCTAGGGATTTCAGCTAGTCTTGGGCAGGGCTGGGGGCTCTCTGACCAGTTATTTGATGCCCAGCAGAGGGAGCTGGGACCCCCCATTACCCTCCAGGTCCTTTTAATCTTTTCGTGTCTGACCCTGAGCATATCTTAATTCACTCCCCCACTCATTCATTTATTCAACATACTTTCACTGGGGGGGTTCTATAGACCAGATCCAGTGTAAGGAGCTGGGGATGTGGGGATAAACCAGCTTACAGCCCCCACCCCCTGGAGGTGTGCACAGCTGAGAGGGTCCCTGATACGTAAAGCAACGAATACAATGTGGTAAGTGCCACGGGGTAAGTTCTATACCTGGATAAGCACTTCCAAGTGCTGTAAGGAAGGGACCTAGGCCAAAATACTGTCAAAAAGGGCTGCCCAAGAAGGGGATTCTTTTTTTTCTCTCTCCCTGTCTTTGAGATGAAGTCTCACTCTGTCACACAGGCTGGAGTGCAGTGGCGCAATCTAAGCTCACTGCAACCTCAGTCCGCCACCACGCCTGGCTAAATTTTTTTTGTATTTTTAGTAGAGACAGGGTTTCACCATGTTGGCCAAGCCGGTCTCAAACTCCTGACCTCAAGTGATCTACCCGCCTTGGCCTCCCAAAGTGCTGGAATTACAGGCGTGAGCCACTGAGCCTAATTCTTGAATTCAATCTTGGTGGCTGTGTTGCAGTTAGCAAGAAGAGACGAGGGAGTGCTGTGTGTTCTAGGGCCGATGAGAGCAGGGCAGACTAGGGGCCCTCATTCCAACTCAGAGGATGAGGAAGAAACAGGGTCATGAACATATGATATTGCCCAAGTCTTCCCTTTTCCATAAGTCATTCCCAGCCGGGGGCCACCCGCTTCTCACAGCTCAGAGGAGCAGTCTTGGGCTTCTGGCCTCAGCAGTTCTTGGTTCCACAGAGTTCCTTGGGCACCCTCTATGTTGCTGCTTCCTTAGCCCTTTGCTCCACTTCTTCCCTGCTGCAAGGTACATCTGTCCACAAGGATTTCTGAATACGTGATGCACTCTATGCCTGTTTCCAAGAAAAGGCTCAGAGAGGTTAAATGACTTGCTGAAGCTCACGGAGGCAGTTCCTGGCAAAGACAAAATCCAGATCCCACCTACCCTGTCCCCAGTTCTGTGTTCCTCCCCCTACATCAGGATACCTAGGAAGGGGGTCCAGGGGAATCCAGAAGTGCTCCACTTGGATGACACACTCAGGCCCTTCCTGCCCACCTCAGAGTGACCCCTCCTGCCCCTCAGTTGCACACATTTTAAGGGCTGCCTCAGCTTTGTTTTTTTTTTTCAGAGAGAGGAGGAGAGAGA